TGCACCCCTGCCCGCTCTTCCCACTCTGCACTCCTGCCTGCTCTTCCCACTCTGCACCCCTGCCCACTCTGCACCCCTGCCCGCTCTTCCCACTCGCCCCGCTGCCCACTCTTCCCGCTGCCCACCCTTGCTCCCTCCTCTCTGCTCTGCCTCCTTATGGCCTTGATAAGCACACGTACTGGCCACTAGAAAGATCACTCACCAGGCCACAGCAAGCCCGTGTAGAAATACCTGAGGGAAACACACCCTAACAGGAGAAAGGTGGACTTCGGCTGCTAGGCCTTGTCACTGTGGGCCTGTGGTGGGGCAGAACATTGTGGCAGGGAGCACTTGGTGAACCAAAGCCGACTGACTACCTCACAGCAGACAGGAAGCAAGGAACGGAAGGGGCATGGGCCCAATATCCCCTTCAAGGGCCTCTTCCACTCCTAGTGACCTAATACCCTTCCAGAAGCCACTTCCTAAACAGCACCATCGATGCATGCCTTGGGGCTGCTTATGACTTCAGGTTTCGCTCAGGTGCCTCAGCTCTCAGAGAAGGGGTATTTGGGGCGTAGGAGGAGGTGGAAGAGTCGTGCACCTTTGGGTGGCATGCATGGGCGGGTCATCTTACCTGTGGCTGTTTGTCTGAGTAGTTTGGAAACCGAGGGACCATCACAGATGCTTCTGGATTTGACCCCTTGCGAGATGCTGAGGTCCTTCGGAAGGCCATGAAGGGCTTTGGTAAGACACCCGAGTAAGGCAGAGGCAGGTGGATCCCTGTGAGTTCCGGGCCAGCCTGGTCTACAGAGTGAGATCCAGGACAGCCCGGGCTCACAGACAGAGACCAAACTGACTCCAACCCTACCTGTGCCCCTAGTTCCCTGGGCAGTCCACTGTGTGGGAGGGCAGACAAGCCTGGCCAGGGAGATGGAAGATGCCCAGGAGAATGAGTGGGAGGCACTAGGCTGGGAGAGTCCATGGCCACAGAGCAACAGAGCATCCTCATAACCTATAGATTGCCTGCTCCCTTCTCTTTCCTAGGCACGGATGAACAGGCCATCATCGACTGCCTAGGGAGCCGTTCTAACAAGCAGCGGCAGCAGATCCTCCTGTCCTTCAAGACAGCCTATGGCAAGGTGAGGAGCAGAGGGGAATGCAGGAAGACCACCGAGGCCTGGTTCTCCCGAGCCCAGCTCCAGGGCCTACAACCAGCATAGCTCCAGGCCCACTCACTCGGCTCTCCCAGGAACTGGGGCCTCCTAGGACTAGATCTCCAGGATGGACAGCAAGCTTGCTTAGAGTTGCCAAGACAAGTCTGTAGATAGGTCATTTCTCCCCTACCCAGCCTCTCTTTCTCCTCCTCTGCTTTCAGGGGATCCTGGGAGGTTTAGCTGATGTAAGAGCTTTGGTGGAAAAGGCTTACGGGGGTTGTATTTTAGGCTTCTGGGGTTTTGAGTTTTAGGTAAAATACATAACTACTGAATATGTTAGTGCTCTACCCAGGCCTCTCCCCATGGCTGGTCCTGATGCTGCCAGGCCCATCTTCTGTAGTACTCTTCACCTGTGGATTTTGTTTGTTTGACTGTCCAACCAGGATTTGATCAAAGACCTGAAATCAGAACTGTCAGGAAACTTTGAGAAGACTATCCTGGCCTTGATGAAGACCCCGGTCCTGTTTGATGTCTATGAGATAAAGGAAGCCATCAAGGTGTGTCCTGGTGCCTGTGGGTGCCTGCCTTCACGTGGAGGCATAGCCGCAGCCCAGGCAGAAGAGGACTGGGTGATGTGTTACCCACTTACCAGTTGCTGCCTAGCCTGACTTCCGGGCATTCCTGGCTGCAGCCCATGAGCTATAGAAGGAGCGCATGGTAGTTTTTCGAAGAGGCGGGTAGCATGCTCTTCCTCACAGGGAGTATCTGTGCCTCCATCTCCAGAAGTGCCCAGACTGGGGGTGTGGAGGACACTGATGACAGAGGGCCCAAGGCTGTTGTAGATCATTCTCATTCAGTAGAACTGTTGCAGGCAAATAGCAGCAACATGTCTGAGGAGCCAGAGCCGCAGAGGAAGAGACGCGGGTGGGGGTGGGGAGAGGTAGGGCTAGTACTAGGACGCAGCAAGACAGATTTCTCTTAGGTCTGTCTCCACCACTTCCTGAGCACCAGCTTGCTCTCCTGACTGCTGTGTCTGTCCTATGCTGTATCCAGAGATGTCTGTCCCCACACCTGTCAACCTCCCAGACATCCAGCTCTGGAAGAACCAAATTCCACACGGGGCCTTTTCCTGCAGCTTAGCTTGGGCTCTCTGGCTCCCTGGGTCTAGTAGATTTTGACCATGGGGCAGCTCTACAGCCACGTGGCTGCATGTATCCTGTGAGTAGAGGGTCCCTCTTCAGGCACCCTGATGGAGCTGCTCAGAGGCATGCTCAGAGGCATGCTGGGCACAGATTCCACCGCCACTAGAGTCTGAGAGATCTGTGTGTGGTCTGGAAGAGAGAGAAGACTGCCTGAAACCCAGTGCCCGCTATAGTCTAGAAGGTGCTCAGGGCAGACAGGATGGCAGTGGCCTGGGCCTGGGCGTGGTCAGAACCCACCTCCTGCAGCTTTAGGAGAAGTTGGTGGAATGCTAGAGCATCACAGGAAGCCAGCTGTGCTGAATAGCTGTTGTGTACCTGAGCACCCATGAGTGGAGACAGTGGATGTTCTTTCAGAACATGCAGGGAGCTTTGGGTAAGGTGCGAACACGCACATCCTTTGAAAGTTGGTAGCATGCTGGCAGTGGTAATCATAACAATACCGTGCCAGCTAGATGTTCTTCACAAACTAGCCCATTTAGCCCCATTAAGGACTCCTTGGGAGGTAGGTACCCGTTCACTCCCTTCATAGACAAGAAACTTGGCACAAAAAGTTATGCACCTTGCCTGAGGTCACACAGTAGGCTGTAGAGCCAAGATTCAGACTGATATAAGAGCCAGGCTCTGACCCTGTCTTCCACCTTCCTGCTGCCCTGACCACAGACATTCCTTTTGTCCTGTCTGGCTTCTTTTCCTAGATGTCTCCAGACAGTTCACCCAGGACTCTAGCTTTTTTCACATCCGTTATGATCTTTCTTTCGGACTTTCCCCACGTCTGTTTGTTATCTCAGAGCCCGAACCTGGAAGAAACAGACATTGTTCTGTACCTCAGCCTGACCCAGCAGGGTGTGGCGTGGGCTAGTCACTGCACACTCCCTCTTCTCTCCTTCAGTTTCCTGGTGCATGGGGTGACCCTACATTGTCCTTAGCTCATTGTCTAGGGCTGGGAGGGGAGCTGGCTCCTCAGGCGTGAGTGGGGTGTGTGTGTGTCTGTGTTGGGGGCCTCTGTGGCTGATGTCCTTCCTGGATGCCAGTGAGGGCCCGGTCACCAACAAGAGATCTGTTATGTTCTCTGCTACCATAGGGGGCCGGTACTGATGAGGCCTGCCTGATTGAAATCCTCGCTTCCCGAAGTAACGAACACATCAGGGAGATAAACAGAGCCTACAAAACAGGTTGGAAGCTCCCTGGCCTCTCTGCTCTTCACAGACGGTTTTGCTTCCTAGGCACTGGCCACACCTCCTTCTTCCATGGCCTCTTAGTCCTTTGCCTCCTTGTCCCTTGTTTCCTGTCACTGGCTCCCTTATCCCCTGTTTCCTCTCACGCCCAGCTCTCTGGGCTTTGACCCAGAGCCCTGCCCTGTATGCTGTTTATATACGGGGCAGGTGCCTGTGGTTGGGAAGCAGGGTAGGGGGGTGGGGAGGGTGATCTTGAGTGGGGTTTGGGCCAAGCCTGACTAGAGGCCAAGTCAGCCTTGGAGTCATAAACTTACATGAGCCTGGAAGGTTGGATGGACCACCCTGTCACTTCCAGCCCGAGATCCATGGACCCTTGTCTTGCCAGTGTTCCCTGTTAACTGTCTTTAGAGGAAGCAGGCCTATAGGGTAGACCCTGGTGTGTGTCTTTCAGAATTCAAAAAGACTCTGGAGGAGGCCATTCGAAGTGACACATCAGGACACTTCCAACGGCTTCTCATCTCTCTCTCTCAGGTACCTTCCTCACAACAGGACATTAGAGAGGGGATTGGAAGGCAAGAGTTGGGGGGAAGCGGGGCAGGGGGGGGGGACATCAAAGCACTGGCAGATGAGTCAGGAGCGGGGGAGGTGGTCTTCAAAAAAGTGGCTTGACCTTACAGCCTCCTTCCTTCCAGGGAAACCGTGATGAGAGCACGAACGTGGACATGTCCCTTGTCCAGAGAGATGTCCAGGTGAGTGTGGTGGCTGGCAGGGTGCCACCATGGGCTTGCTGAACCAGAGCTGGGTCACACCTGCTGCTTTGTGGCGTAGGTGCCCAGGGATGGGAAGAGCAGTAGGCACTGGTGGGTTCCACGTGCCGTGGGTTTCTGAGGCGCTCGGATACTTGACATTGGACAGGGCATCCAGCCCTCTGAGTCTCCCACCTGGGAGGGGGACAGCAGGGTAATAAAGCCGCAGCAGTTGCCGATCACAGGGGTCTGGCGCTTCACATGATTGGGTCCTTTCCCATGTGGGTACTACTAGGTGTGTGAAGGTACCGGTCTGCCCAGCTTCTGAGTTTGTGGGCCTAGAAATGTGCTGTCACCCATTGTCACCTTGAGTTGGAGACAAAAGGGGCAAAGTTCAGGCATCCGAATTCCTTTCTGAGTGAGTTTGTCCTGTCTGCTGGGCAGTTCCGACTGTCCTGTCTTCTTAGCGGGGTGACCGGACCTCCCCCAACCTTCCCGGAAAGGATGGCTCCTGCCCTCCCTTCTCCCTTCCCGACCTGCTCAGACTCACCTTGACCTGAGGGGTCTCAACCCGAGGGTGTCCTGGGGCATCAGTGCCCTTAATTTCCATGACTGTCTGAGGCCTGGAAGGCATCTTAGAGAGGTCTGGGGCAAGGTTGCAGATCGGCAAGTATTCGGGGCTCAACCCTTCAGAGGTTTTAAAAGTGGCTAAGTTGGTGCCCATTTCAGTGAACATGATATATGTAATGAAGCATGGAGAAAGGACCGGACGAAGCCCCACATCTGGAATTTTTTTTTAAAGATTTATTTTTATGTTGATGAATGTTTTGCCCACATGCATGTTCGTGAACCATGTGTATACCCCGTGCCCAGTGGGGAGTCGGAAGAGGGTATTGGATTTGCTGCTAAGCTGTCTCTCCGTTCCGGTTCCGGTGACTGGTTTTTGGTTTTTGTTTAGTTTTTTTTTTTTTTGGTTTTTCCGAGGCAAGGTTTCTCTGTGTACCTCTTACTGTCCTGGAACTTGCTCTGTAGACCAGGCTGGCCTTGAACTCACAGAGATCCACCTGCCTCTGCCTCCCGAGTGAGTGCTGGGATTAAAGGCGTGTGCTGCCACTGCCCAGCTTGTAATTTTGTAATTGGTTTTTAAGTGTGATAGTCATCATCATCCATGTGATCTTATTGGTGGGGGAGCTGCTCTCCATGTTTGGGAAATGTCACATAGGAGTCTGGCAGCTGGCTTCTCCTGAGATGTAGGTCTGTCAGCCACGGCCTGCATTCCTTCCTACTGCTGAGAAGTGCTGCTCCTAAGGAGTTGGCTAGGGTCCCTTCTAGCTTTCCCACTCACCGTTTTTCCCGTGTGGCCTCTTGGGCTTCAAGGTCATGACCTCAAGTCAGATCTAATCCTTACATTGTCATAATGAGGAGATCGAGACTCGGGAGCCAGAGCCCTGCCCAGCATCCCTCTGCAAGCTGCTTCTGAGCTAGGACCCAAGTCCAGGCTTCTCTTCCCTCCTCTGGGTGCTGGGCTCTGGACTCAGAATCCTCTGTGCCACACACAGACAGGAGAGGATATGGATTGCCGGGGCGAGCAGAGCCTACAGGGTTCAGCCAACCTGTACTCCCACTGCCAGGGCCCTGTCCTTCCCCGCTGGGCTTGCTTCACAGAGCTAGATGCTGCCTACGTGATCTGAGCCCAGGACCTAGGTGGTGCTTGCTACACACATGCATCTTCCTCCCCATCCAGGAGCTGTATGCAGCCGGGGAGAACCGCCTAGGAACAGATGAGTCCAAGTTCAATGCGATTCTATGCTCCCGGAGCCGGGCCCATCTGGTGGCAGGTAAGACAGTCCTGGGTCACTTAGATGAGGGTACACAGGACGTGATGTGGAGAAGAAGCCTGCAGAATGTTTGGCTGATGTCCTCTGCACTAAAAGGCACTATGGGAAGTTTCCTGCAGACCTTGCTTGTAGGGCAAAGGTGAGGACTTGGACTGCCATGCACCGAAATAAGGAATGTCAGAGTGGGGAAAGCAGGGGTCTGGCAGGGAAAGCACAATGTCCTCTGACCTTCAGACACATGGCATGTGCCTTTCCCCCCAGTAACAAGAAAAAGCAAAACGCAACGAGAACACATTCATCACAGCAGTGCTGGGTAACGTTTACTTAGCTTGTTGAACACATGGATGTGGGTTTCTGTCTTATCAAGTGGCGGAGAGGTGTAGACTGTTTTCATGGGTTCAGCTTCATGTCAGGAGACCAATAGTACAGTCTGGAGCTGGTAGCCAATATGTAGAGAAGAAGAATGGACTGGAAACGGGTAGAAGGTGGAGGGGTAGAGCTGAGGGAGGGGCTGGGGCAGTCCTCTCTGGTATAAGGCTGTGAGATTAAAAGCCCTAAGGGAGATAGTTGCAAAGACCCTGCTGGGCTTCCAGCATGGCCCAGGCAGAGCCAAGGGGATACGGTAGCAGGAGGTGGGTGGGGTCAGAGGTGGCGGACAGCTCTGCTGATGGTCTAGGGAGTTAGGTGTCACAGGATCGGAAGTCACAGGAGGGTCCTCAGGGAAACACATCTCCTTCCTTCAGCTTGCAGACATCATGCTCCCAGATTCCCCTAGGTAACCGTGGGCCTCAGTGTGAAGAAAGGAAGGTGAAGGATCCACAGTTGAGCTGGGGATCTGGGAGAAAGCCATACAGTGACTTAGGAGTTGGTGGTAGCCTGGATAGGGAGTTGGAGTCGACGGGACCAGGGTCCAACCTGCTTGTTGGTAAGCTGGACGTGGTGTGTCGGAGTGAGACGGCCTAGGAGGACAGAGGGATTCTATCAGCTGAGTGAGTGGAAAAACAGTGGCCCTCAGCTGAGATTAGGAGCTGTGCATGGAGGAGACATTGGGGACAATGGCATCAGGAAGATAGTTGTGCCGATGAGCCCGGAAGTCAGGAGAGGTCTTGGGCCTGTGAGGGGTCAAGTGTCTGAGGCCTTGGGAGAGCAGTGGTTTGAAGATGGGAGGGCCTGGATAAAAGGAAGCCATGGTCTGCTGTGTCCAAAGGCTCCTGTGGGCAGAAGGTGAGGAATCAGAGCCGAGGACAGCTGGGAAAGACTGTAGGAGCTGCAGGGTAGGAGGGAGGTGAGGATCCCAGTTCACACCCCAGGCCTCTAATCTAACCCAGGCACACAGGAGGGGAGAGGTATTCCCTCAGTCAATCTCAGGATTGGCATGAGGCCAGTGCAGAGTTTGGGCTTGAGCCCTGTCCCCAGGGCATGCTTTTTAACTTCCTGCCACTGTGATAAGAGCGTGGGTGAACATGGGCTCATCAACATGTATTCATTGTCTTTTTTATTGTTCGAGAATTTCGTATATCCATGTAAATATGTTTCGAGCAAGTTGACCTCCGTCCCCTCTCCTATCCAGGCTCCACTTTTTCTTCTCAACTTTATGTGCTCTATTTTGTTTGTTTGTTTTTGTTTTTTGAGACAGAGTCTCTCTGAGTAACCCTGGCTGGCCTGAAACTGGCTATGTAGACCAGGATGGCCTCGAACTCCTAGAGATCTGTCTGCCTCTGCTTTCTGAGAACTGGGATTAAAGGCAGGTGCCCCCCCCCCCCCCCGCCCCCAACACCTGGCTATGCTGTTTCTCTGTCTCTCATTATATCACCGAGTCCGCCAGCACATTGTTATATACACTGATGCAGTGCCAGCTACTGAAGCACGGGAGCCTCTCAGGGGCCACGTTCTTGAAACCGACTCTCTAGCGTCCATCAGTGGGGTCTAGCACGGCTCCTTCTCGAGGGAGCCAACAGCTTGTTCCGTGGCACTCAGCAGCTCCTGAGTTGATAATTAAAGGTTTTCGGCATGACAGAACCATGCGGGTTGTGTCTGAGTGGGTCCTGAGGGGCACGGGCTAGGAATGTGGAGATTTAGATTTGAGAGCAGTGTGTGGGTCAGGATGGGTAAGCAGACCAACTGCCCTGATAAAGGAATCATCTGACTGAAGGGCATCAGGCCTCGTACCAGACTTAAGGCTGAGGGTGTGGCTTCTTGTGAGCTTTGCTAGGGCAGCCAGGCTGTCCATGGCAGAATGAAAGAGAGGCAGTTCGTTCGTGTGTGTGTGTGTGTGTGTGTGTGTGTGTGTGTGTGTGTGTGTGTGTGTGTACACGCATGTGTCCGTGTGTCCTCTCTGCTTTGGGCTTACTGTAGGCTGGGCTTAAGCAACAGGAATGTGTTTTCTTAGAGTTTTGGACACTGGTAAGCCTGTCAGGATTGGTTTCTTCTGAGGCCTCTCTCTAGATGAGTCTCCTCATTCTGTGTCCCCACGTGGTCTCTTTCTACATAGACGTTCCTCAGTTTGTGATGACGTGCTATCCAACAAACCCATGTGAAAATGTCACAAGTCAAAAAATACACTTATAGCTAGATATAGTGACATGTATCTGTAGTCCTAGCTGCTTGAGAGGCTGAGACAGGGGAATCCCTTGAAGCTCAAGGGTTTATATGATGTGACTTTATCACACACAAAAAACAGAAATGCATTTATTATGCCTGATGTAGTGAAAATTGTACTTCAGCCCAGTGTGATTTAACTAAACTCAAACACATTGGCATACGGCAGGGTGGAGTCCTCTACTGCAGATTTGTGTTGGTTATAAAGTGCTGAGTGCTTAATGGGACTTGGAGAGAGCTGTGGTTGTGTGTGGAAAGGAAAAGGCAAAAGACCTTAAGTCAAGCCATCTCAAGCCAAGCTTTGTCAGTCCACACACATACCTGACCTCCGGTTAGCTTAACTCAAGGCCTGCCATCATGGCATTGTTTTAATACGTATTCTGAGGTGCTGAGGGTCAGGACTGCCACATGGAAATTTAAGAGAATGTGATTCGGACTATGACACATCCCTTCTATTTTCCTGCTAGTTTTCAATGAGTATCAGAGGATGACGGGGCGAGACATTGAGAAGAGCATCTGCCGGGAGATGTCCGGGGACCTGGAGCAGGGCATGCTGGCTGTGGGTAGGTGTCTGGAGCTTGGGTTGCCTGCCTGCCTGCCTGCCCGCCCACTGGGCAGTGTGGGCCCTAATCTGGGTGCTCAGTGTCCTGCGGTTGAAGGTGGTGTAGTGAGGGAACCACAGAGTCTGAGCTTGCTAATCTGGACCATCTGGCTGGTGGGAGTCCGTGAGTTCCCGGCCTCTAGGACGGAGGGGTCTTGTGTTTGCAGTGCAGCTCTGCAGAACGGAGCTCCGGTGTGGGCCTCAGTGGGGGCCTGTCCAGCTGCTCTCCTGGAGGAAGGTGACTCACATCCTGCCAAGTTTCCTCTAAAAATACATCCCTGAAGGCAATTATCAGCACTCTGATGGAAGCACATGGAAAGATTTTTTTTTTTTTTTTTTTTTTTTTTACTTGCAACAGCTAAACAGGGCCCATTCTAGGGAATGCTGGCCGAGCTTCCAGCATGGGGAGTGCCTCTTACAGCACTGTGCCCTCTGCAGCAGGTCTTGGAGGCTCCGGGAACCTCCCCGTAATGAGGAGTTGGGTTCTTGCCCTATATCCTGCCACCTTTCTTTATCCTCACCTGGGGGTGGGGGACATCAATTTGCCCATTTCCTTTAGTATGTTTTTCTTGGCTCTTTCTGACTAGTGTAGAACAGGCAGTGGATCCTCATTTCCCCGCATGGCCTGAGAAAAACACCGCATTCTCTTGGCCTCCCTTTTTCCACGAGGGTCTTTCTGTTGGACCCCTCATGCCTAGGCACCCGTGAGGTTGGTACCTCTTCTCATTAAGCCCCTACCCCACTCTGCATAGTCCCAGTGGTTTTTGCTCAGTGATGCCAAGCAGTTGATGGTCCTACTTGTGTGGAGCCACATTCTCGGGATCACTGCCAGCAGGAGGAGAAGTGGATGGGTGGTGTCAGATTGGATGTCCAGGCTTCCTAGGGGGACACTGAGGTAGTGTGTGCCCGGCTGTATCCTACAGCCCTTATGCTGTGTTTCTCCTGTAGTGAAATGCCTGAAGAACACCCCCGCCTTCTTTGCTGAAAGGCTCAACAAGGCTATGCGGGTATGTAGCTCTTGGGTGCAGGGGGCCCTAATCCAAGACACCTTAAAACCCCCGGGTCTAAGGGGTCCACAGCGGGCTGAATGTAGAAGGTATGGAGGGATTGGGGCCTCCGGGAAGGTGGGAGGGTGAGAAGCCTCATGTGCATACTGTGTCTTCAGGGAGCAGGAACAAAAGACCGGACCCTGATTCGCATCATGGTGTCTCGCAGCGAGTTTGACCTCCTGGATATCCGAGCAGAGTATAAGAGGATGTACGGCAAGTCGCTGTACCACGACATCACGGTACGGGCTCAGGGGCCCACAAGGCCCTCCCTGTCTCCTTCCCCTCTCCTCCAGAACAGCCAGTGTTTGGCCTAGCGGGCTTCTTCATTCCAGTCACCTCCAAACAGATCACAAGACCCTGAGGACAGGGCAGGTCACAATCCTGTGATGCGGGGCAGCTACCCATCCCCCCCACAGTTCCCCAGAGTTTTCTTGAGTGAGAGCAGGAGGAAATAATAGATAGAAGGATTTAGAGTGTGGAGATAAACAGACAATATAGGATAGCCTTGAAAGGGCCTGGAACCTTTTCCACAGGGCCCTGACTGTCTCTGCCCTACGGTATTTATAGAGATGCCAAGGGGTGGAGCAGAAGACCTCCCCCCAGCACAGCCAAGTTCAGACCATCTCAGACATCTACACTCAGGCTGTGGTCCTAATCATCCTCTCTATGTGGACCTGCTGGTTAAAGCCACTAAGGAAACCTGAAAATGGGCTCCCACACTGTGACCCTACGTTCCCACCCTCTAGGACCTCAGTACTTGATAACTGAACAGGGGTGTCTGCCAATGGTATAGAGAAATCTGTCCTTCCATTATCATGTCCTTGACCTTCAGAGTCCCCACCACTCTGGGAAGATGTGATCCCCCAAGAACAGCTCATGTCCCAAGGGTCTGTGGAGCTCAGCTCTTGCTTACTGGATTCTGGCTTCCCCCCATTCACTTTATAGTGGAGACCACATAGGTAGCTCAGCCCTTGGGTCAGCCTGGGCGTCTGATCCTGGCTTTTCTGCTTGGTTAACCTCATGATGCTTGAGCATGGTCTGCAAACCTCCTCCCAAGCAGCGGCCTCGCATCTCTAAGAATACTAGTTCCTCCACAGGTGTGGTGGCGGCAGTCTCCACAAACACTGGAAGAAACATGGTGTGTCTGGGCTGGGTGGCAGAAGTTGACACTAAGTCCCAGCACTTGAGTGCCTGATTTCAAAGCCAGCATTTGATACTGTCAGGCTCCTCTTTGAAGACTAGCTAATCTCCATTCCCGCGCTATGGAAATTTTATCATTCCTGTCTGATTGGGGCTGAGTACTAGTAGGCTGTGACAGCTGAAGAAGCCACAGGCTAAACTCGTAGAGAGCCCTGTGGTGTTGGACAGAGATTGATCTGTGAGAAGTGGGAGGCTGTAACAGTAATGGTGTCTTCCAAGGGTGGTCGTAAGGATGATGCTTCCAAGGACAGTGTTGCTTTATAGTAGAAGCCCGCATAAATGCTCTAGGCAAAGAGCAATGCTGATGAGCCCTGGGTGGTGAGCCTTGGGCCGATGAAGATATTGTTCTAGATACTCATTGGACTTTGGTAGTAGGTGAGTGATACTGTGTATGTATGTATGCACACATATATATATACATATAACTCTGGTAAAGACCAGAGTTAACATGGAGTATCATTCCTCAAGAGCTATCCCTGTTGATTTTTGAGAAAGTCTCCCTGGGACCTGAGGCTTGATGACTAGGCTAGAATGGCCTCCCAGTCAGTCCTAGGAATCTGTCTCCACCTACCCAGTGCTGGATTACAAACACATGCCCTCGCGCCTGGCTTTTGGCTTTTGTTTTTACACAGACTCTGGGGCCCACTGAACAGCACTTGTTCAAGCAAGCGAGGTCTGCACCACATGCTCTGAATGGGACCTCTCCCTCAGACAGGCCTTCCTCTCCACAGGCCAGAGCGGAGGTGGCTTTGCCTTTCTTTTTTTTTTTTTTTTTTTTTTTTTTTTTTTTTTTCGAGACAGGGTTTCTCTTGTGTAGCTTTGCGCCTTTCCTGGAGCTCACTTGGTAGCCCAGGCTGGCCTCGAACTCACAGAGATCCGCCTGCCTCTACCTCCCAAGTGCTGGGATTAAAGGCGTGCGCCACCACGCCCGGCTTGGCTTTGCCTTTCTTAACCTTAACTCTTGTTTCTGCCACCAGGGAGACACTTCTGGGGACTATCGGAAGATTCTACTGAAGATCTGTGGTGGCAACGACTGAGCTCAGGGTCCTCACTTCTGCCCCCTGCTGGCACTGGCAAGGAAAGGCCCAACGAGCGTCCTTCAGTTTTTCCTAATCTCTCCAGTATCCCTAGTTGCACCATTTCTCCCCAGAACCATGGCCTCTTCCGTCTGGTCTCTCCTCATCCACATACCGTGCCGAAAGGGCCCAGCTGGGCCAGAGTTCTCAGGCAGCCATCTCCCCGGCCCTCACAGCCTTTTGCTGTTCAGAATAGATGTTTTTCTCTCCCGGCTCCTGCAATCATTCCTCATTGCTTGTGGCGAAGACTCCTAGCTTTGTTATAAACATGTGATTTTGTATTTTTATTTGAAAACTTTTTTTTTAACCATCATTGCCAGACAGATGCATATAAGTCTGTTTACTCTATGCATGTTTCTGAGGAGAGTGGGAAGTGGATGGGACACCCCATCCTTGCCAGATAAAAGGGAGGTCTTGTGAGGGTACGGTTGTGTCTGGTGAGAATGTGTCATGAGTTTTGTTTTTGCCAAACTCACTCCTTTTTTAGAAAAAGGCCAAAAAAATCACTGGTTCCCTCTTCCATGCAAGAAGAAAGCCAGTTCCCTGCCAGGGACTGGGATCCTTGTAGTTGTCGGAATGTGCCTTAAACCTGAATGTCTTTAGCCAAAAGCTGTTTCCAAATTAAAGTCAGCCAGCTCTGGAACATTCTGGAAATGTCTTTCTGGTGCCAGCTTGTTTTCTTCCGCTTTATGACTCAGAGATTCCGGCCCTGTTAGCCAGTAAAAATGGATGTGTTGAACTAGAAACATACGCTGTGGAAATCCCAGGCATAAGCTACACAATCCCAGGCAGGGGTTGTGTCTGAAGGACTTGCAAAAGATGCTCTCCAGATCCACACAGGGCCCAGGTAGTAACGAGGCACAGGTCCCCAAGCCAGATGGAGGTGGGAGGGTTCCCTGACTGAGGTGGGAAGAATGGCCGGTCACCCTGGTCCTGGGAAAGGACAGAAAGGTGTTCTATGGTTTGTGGGGTGATCTCAGGGAGACTAGTGATGAGGACAGGATCCACCTAGGGAGGAGCCCCAGCCTCGTGGTACCTTGGAAGCTGCAGTCAGAAAGACCCTTGGCTCTGGCCCAGACCCTTCAGGCGCTCTGCTCCTTGGTGTCTGGAAAAGGGAACCAGCAGGGACAGTTTCAAGGGTTCATCGTCATGTCCAGGAGCACAGAGCTTCGCTTGCTGGCTGGAGACTCCCCCCACTTCCCCTATGTTAGAAAGCTCAGGATAATGGTACTCCAGAGAGACAAGTGTCTGTCCAGCCTCTTGGGCCCTGGCCACAACCCCAGAGAGGCCTCAGCTGAGTAGCCAGCTGCTGGGGTACGGATCCTCATTTCTCCCAACAGTGGGAGGAGAATGATACAAGGTGTGAAGTGTCTGTGAGCTCAACACCAGTGCTGGGAACCACATTAATCACCCAAATGTGCACACACCCCAAAGCCCCATGATGGGTGAACAAGCTGTGGCCTGTTGATACAATAGAACGTTATTCAGCCATATGAAGAAACGGAACGACACAGTGTAACATGGATGGCCTTTCAGAACTTGTCCAGTGAGAACCTGATGCCATTCACAGAAGCTGCCCACAGTAAGTAGGCAAGTCTGGGAAGACGGTTTCTTGAGGGCTGGCAGTGGGGAGAGGGAAGGGGAAGCGACTGCTGTGTAGGCTCAGAGTTCTTTTGGGGTGTTGAAAATGTCCTGGAATTAATGGTGAACACAGAAGAAACCGCAGAATTTGTGCAGGTTAAAATGGTAAGTTTTGCTGGGTGTACACCGTTAACTCCAGCTTGGTCTGTATGGTGAATCACACACACACCCCAAGGTGAATTTTATGCAATGTGAACTTTGTTTACTGAAATAGAATTTTTTTTTTTTTTTTTTAAAAAAGAGGCTGGAAGTATGCCTCTGGATTCTCAGCCATGGAACAGGATTCTTAATGGGCACACAACCTCTCACAGGAGGGCAGGATAGGGAATCACATGAAGGCAGAGATTCTGATGCGAGGGTTGGCTGGATGGGACCCAGATGACCATGTGTTTCTGGGTGGCACCGGCTGCTGTTTTTGTGGCCACAGTTTGAGTAGTAGCAAGGCTGTATAAAGGGCCTTCTGTGTCCCGTTACCATTCTGGGCTTCCTTCGGGTGCCTCACTTTGAATCAGTCTGTCCTATAAAGTTGGAAGTGCAGGGGCAGAGGGTACCCAGGTCTGTGGGCTAGTACAGCGTGTGGGGTTCAGGGTATATGACAGAAGGAGCTGGGGCCGAGGTTACAGAGGTCACCATTAACGAACACGGCGGCGGGGGGCGGGGGGAGTCGTAGCTTTTATTTCACACAAAGGTGGGGCAGGACGGCAAGAACGCCAGGCTTGGTTCTCAGATGGATGAGTTCGGCTGCCAGGCTCTGCTACCCCTGGTGTTCAGAAGTGATCTGCAAGAAAGGGTGAGCAGCTGAAGGAGCTCCTTGTCGGGGCTATGCCCAGCGACTCCCTCCAGCTTCCCAGTCCCTTGGGACAGCAGTACCAAAACCAGGACTCAAGACAGGAGCTGGGGTTGATCTGAGCATCACTAGGACTCCAGGGCCCAGAGTGCCAATGGGTGGTGAGACTCGATGGAGGAGCACAGACTGGAATACTTGAAGACTGATGTGCTACCAACTCTACCCTGGGACTGCACAGCACCTCACCCGCCCCCCCCCCATGTTCTCTGGCTCCACCAGTGTGATGGAGCTGCCAGGGACCCTTGGTGACAGGCCCAGCAGGTGTTCCTCTTGCCCTCGGAGCCACTCACCAGTTCCTAGCAGGTCCGGGTCGGGGCTGAAGGGCCCTGGGGGTAGATTGGAAGCCAATTCCTCCAGCAGGCCCAGCAGACCTGTCACTTCTGTCTCTAGGTGCTCTACCGTCTTCTCCACCGTCTGGAGCGGGAGGGCAGGGGCAAGTCAAGCACAGGAGTAGGGCCAACTTCAGCCTAGCTTAGTGATACCCTGAAGAAATTTCACTGAGCCCCAGCATAATGCAGTGGAGAGAGGACTGAGTGCTGTGGAGTCCTGGCCCTCACTCAGTCTCTGCTCAGTTTCCCCAGCAACACCATCACAGGCAGCTTTAAGGATTCTCCTGTCTGGTTCTCAAAGGTGCCAGGCCTGGCACGGGAACCCCTAAGCACCTTTTTCTTTGTTGGGGATTTGGCAGTAATAGTGCACATTGCTTTTGTTGCACCGCCCCCTGGTGGCACCTTCCTTAAATGACAGGTTTGGGATTTTAATGTTTTGTTTCTAGGGATGGCTTAAAGGGCTGGGGTTTTGTTTTGTTTTTTTTTTTTTGTTTTTTTTTTTTTTGTTTTTTTTTTTTTTTTTTTTTTTTTTGGTTTTTCAAGACAGAGTTTCTCTGTGTAGTTTTGGTGCCTGTCCTGGATTTCGCTCCATAGACCAGGCTGGCCTGGAACTCACAGAGATCCACCTGCCTCTGCCTCCCGAGTACTGGAATTAAAGGCATGCGCCACCACTGCTCGGCTTCACAATAAATAGTTCTTTAATGCTTTTTATTGGGGGGTGGGTGGGATATCAACTACATTACAATAGCATTCAAATGTTTAAAACTATATATTATTTTGGTTGTTGATGTCTGTAAGCTCAAAAGCCAATAGACTGAGACAGGAAGGTCACCAGGCCAGTTTAGGATACAGAGTATGATTTTTCTCCCCAATAATTATTTTGTCATTGTGGGAGTGAGGCGGGAGAAAGGCCAAATGTCAGTCTTAGGAGCTGTCTCCTGTGTGTGTGGGAGTACACTCACACCATGGTAACATGTGGAGGTCAGTTCTCTCCTTCCACTTGGAAAATTCTGGGGATTAGGCCAGGTGGTGGTAGCAGGCGGATCTCTGAGTTCAAGGCCAGCTTGAACTCTACAGAGCCAGTTCTAGGACAGCCAGGGCTACACAGGGAAACTGTCTCAAAAAACCAACAAAGGAAAGGAAGAGAAAGACCTGGGGATCAGTCTCAGGTCATCAGGCTCGATGGCCAGTACCTGGTGATCTATCTCACAGGCCTCACCTTGCCTTTGAGGCAGGAGCTCCTCCTGGCAATGAACAGGTTAGGCTGACCGGCTATCGAGCCTCAGGGATCCTCCCATCTCCTCCTCTCTGGTGCTGGAATGCCACTGTCCCTAGCTTTTTTTGTGGGTCCTGAGGATGGAACTTGGCTCCTCGTAGTTACATGGCAAGCGCTTTACAGACTGAATTAAATTCTGATGTACTAGTATATGTACATATTAACTCACTAAATGACAGAATCTAACACCAGGCCATTGCCGCCATCCTCACAGAATGAGGGAGTACAGAGGATATGCTGAAGCTGGGTGTGTGGTCCATGCCTGTAGTCCTAGAGGCAGAACCAGGAGGATTGCCATGAGTTTCAGGCCTGACTGGTTTAATAGTGAGTTCTAAACCAGCCATGGCTACATAGTGAGACTGTGTCTCACAAAAAAATAAAAATGGAAAAAAAAGAAGAGGCTGGCGAGGTGATGGAGGAGGTCAAGGCGCCTGCCACGAACTTTAACAACGTGAGTTAAATCCCTGGAACATGCATGGTGGAAGGATTTAAAAGTTTCCAGCAATGAAGATAAAACTTTCCCCCCACACAAATATATGAACCCAAAGTTATGGTTCATGGCTGTTTTACAAAATTTGATGGTTCAATTTCCACCTTCCCCATCCTGGGAAAAATTTCAGGCTTGGTGTAAGTAACGCCTCCTGGGAGCTAGGGTATATAACACATTGCTCAGCTGAATATCCCAGTTAGAGCAGAGAGTATTTTACTTGGTGCCTGGGGAACAGACTGGCCTGGGTTTCCTGACCATTGTACTCCACAAAGCCACCAGCCTGGCAGATGGCCATGAAGCTTCATGGTGCCTTCCTCTCATACCCTCATTACCTCTTCCATGATGTCCAATCGGCTTTGGACAGCCACATGTCTGTCACAGCCTGGGCTCCAAGCTAGATCTTCTCTGGAGGACTCAGCAGCTGTAGGGAAAACAGGTCTTGTCACTGTGAGGCCATTGGTTCCCTTGTGGCACTAGAGAGGCCTGTACAACACCAGGCTGGAGTGCCGTGGGTGATGAAATCAGACAGAAGGACAGACACACAGAGGATGAAGATGAGCCACCACCCTACACAGTCCTGTCTCCGGACCCAGGAGGGCTTCATCAAGGAGGCAGTGTCTAGGCTGGGCAAAGTGGAGACAGGGAAGGTTTGGCTGCTTACAAAGACATGGAGAGATGTACATCTTCCTTGGACAAACCATCCAGGGAGCTGGAATGCCTGTGAAGAACCAGGTGGGTGGCAGATTCAACCAGAGAGGGGTCTTGGGATCAAAGCCAGGGGTAACACTTTGACCCAAGGCCTCCATGAACCTCCATGAATATTTGGAGGGGGTGTTTTGAATTTCCGGTTAGAGAATGTGGAGGGATTGTGACTTTGGAGGGAGGCAGTGGCGGCAGGAATCCATGTGAGAATGAGCCAGACAGTAGTAGACAGAATCCAGGGAGGAAACGGAGCGGCCTCGGCACCGGGAACCAGTGAGTCTGAGTAGCTGTGCCCTGTGTGTCGTGCTGAGGATGATCTGTAGTGGCCTCATTTTGTACTCCAGGAAACTAATGCACAGAGGGGTGAGAGGTC